AGACAGGCCGCCATCGACCTCCATCAGGGACCGGCGCAGTGTCGCGGCAGAGGCTGGAGTCGGTGAACCGGTTACCGGAGACGCAGCTGCGCGATCCTGCAGGGGGCGCTCGAGGCCTCACAGACACAGCAGACAAATATTGCATAACGCTGTAAATATATGATCATCTGTTCGTTCCAAGATATCTGACGTACGATTAGAAATCCATTCCATCCGTTGTCATGGTGATGTTAAAAAAATCGTTCTGTAATTGCGAGCGCGTGATTGGTCCATTCCGAGCAGCGCTAATGTCACGTGACTCCGGAAAATCCCACATAACATTCATCTTCTAAAAACATTGTGAGAATATTGTTTCGATATATTGGAGGGTATTGGCCGAATTGTCCATTTGACGTTAGCGTTACTGAAAGACTATATGTTTCTTACAAAACGCTTTACTAACTTCTTCGCCGAAAATATAACATTCTTTGAACGTTTATTTTTTTTATATTTCAGGAAAGTTAAATTGTCCAGTTTTTAAAGGAGATGGAAAACGTTTCTTAGAAGGTTCAAATACAAATAAAATCATAAGGACGTTGTAATGCTGATCTCAGAATGTTGTTCTCAACTTTATGATATCAAATATTAATAAAGTTAGTTATTAGAACGCCCCCCAACAATTACATAACTTTCAAAAGCAGTAAGTGAAAGTTAAGAGAGCGTCCCCTGATAGCTGGGATAAAGGTTATTGATAAACTGAGCAAAATGTAAGAAAAGAGAAAGTCTGTGTGTTTCTGATGTAAAGCTGCTCCTTAAACCAGCTCTGTAGAGTTGAGCTGCATCCTGCTGAATCCACAAAAACAAGATGAAGAAAACAAGCCAAAGTCTCTCACCAAACATTGTATAGTTTAAGCTAGTGACATGAAACTGTTCCTGCATTCAGCAGACTGCTAGGCTACGAACAAATAGTGCAGCTGTTGGCACAAGTTGCAAAATCAGTGATAGACAGAAATAAAAAGGTCTCAGTGTACTACTGTATCTTTGATTGGATCGGCACAGTCTTGCGGTGTTTTCATCAGTAATGCAGCTAAACTAGAGCACACGTGCTGTGCTACACTGAAGAATAGCTGGATGGCACTGATTTATTGCTGATTTTGTCTGTGGATCAGCAGGTGTTTTGCAGGGACAGCATCAGCTGGACTGTAATACTGTATTCTGTAGTATCTTGGCATTTGATTTGATGATGTGTTCAGTGCTGTGTTTAACTCATCACGATAAGTGTAATATGAAATATAAGATGTGGTCAGTAAGCATACCATTTCTCTGCCTCTGACAGGCTAAAGATCAGGAAATGCTCCGGGATCAGCTGATGTGGAGGACAGCTGTCAATCAAATCATCCGCACAAACTCAGGTGTGAGACAGAACCCTCATCCATTCTCCTCGGAGTTACAGTAATTACACACAAGACCACGAGATGCAAGTTATTATGGTCAGACGTCATTAGTAGTAGCTGGTAGTGATCTGATGAAACCTCAAGCACTAAGGAGAGGCTCTTTTTCGCCGTGGCAACCACTTAGACTATGTTTTTGCTGTGTGTGTGTTATGTGTATGATTGTGTGTTAGTGCAGATGTGACTGAGTTTCGTGAGATCTTCTCAAAGACACGACACATCACCGTCATCACAGGAGCAGGAGTCAGTGCTGAGAGCGGCGGACCCTCCATCAGAGGAGCCGAGGGACGCTGGAGGACCTGGAAAACCCAGGACACACACACACACTCACACACACACTCTCTCACACTCACAGTCACACACACACACTTTATGTCCTCATTTGTCACACACACACACACACACACACAACCAAACCCACACACACACACACACACTCACACACTCACACACAGACACACATGCAGCAGCCTATAGTTTCCTCTGAATCACTGACTGAGACTGAAATCAACCGCTGAACACACGTGACCTGCTGTAAAACAAAAATGTGCTCTAATGATCATCATAATCAATACAAGTTGAAGTTGCCAACTTGGAAGCTGCTGCAGGATGAGGAACTTGCTTTTGCTGATGAACCCTCATGTGGCGGTCAAAATTAACATTTATACATGTATTTCCATGAAATTAACAAACTATATTTTAGTTTATTTTTAGTTTTTATTTAATATTTTGCATTTTTAGGGGATTTTATGGTACTAAATTATATTTATGGAATAGTTATGATCCATTTATTACCTGTTGAGCATAAACCTATAAATGCAATTTCTGACTTAAACGGTCATACATCTTAAATGGTTTGGAGCACAGACTTAAGTTTGTTCTCTTTTTAAATAAGACGCTTGGCAAATTATTGCTGAAAAGTTAAAAAAGTGAAACTAAAAAAACGTATAGAAGTTTATTACTATGAAAAATTAACAAAAATATTAAAATTAAAAAAATTAAATCCAATTGATATTAAATATATATTTTCCAAAACATGTTTTACTCCAAAACTGTGTGAATTTTCCAAAACTCAAACTCCAAATTTGACATTGATATCTCAAAACATGAGCTTTCAGTCAGATTTAGTTTGGTTGCAGTACCAAACATCTCCACAAGATGAATTTCACTTTTCACCACAAACAGTATTCACGAGTTCACACTTACTTATAATGAACCGAGTAAAGTTTATGCGTATTTGGCGTGCTGTCCGGGGAGAGGGCTCCGAGCTCGGTAATTACTCTCGAGCCCGGGGTCCTCCCCCTGGCCGGGGAGAGGGGTCCGAGCTCGGGATTAAGCCCGGACCCAGAATGCTCCCCCCGAGTGTTCCTCCCCGTGCTGGGGTAACAGGACACACACACGCACGCACACACACACTCACTCACACACACACTCTCTCACACTCACAGTCACACACACACACACTCACTCACTCACTCTCTCACACACTCACACACACAGACACACTCTCTCACACTCACAGACACACAGGGGGGGCGGAAAAGGGGCCGATCATAAATTTTGCGTCTGTTTCTCTTTTGATTAGGAGGTCGACTGTTTCGGGTTCGGCGAGAGCGGACTTTATTATTTATAGAGGTTCTCTCTTGAGCTGATTGGATAGATGGTGTAATTACTGATGATGAACTGGCCGTGTTAATTATCTGTGCGCGCTCCTCCCGAAACTTGTTAACAAAACATCACTAAGTATGATGACTTTCTTTTTTGTTGTTGTTGTTTTTCAGGACCATTTCACCTTTTTAAATCTGCAGTGCAGCTTAGGCTCAATGAACTAGCTTTACAGGAAAAAACACTAGAGGCTAGGGAGGAGGAAAGACAATTTAAAGAGAAACAAATGTATCTTAAACATTAACACTTTCTTAAGAAGTTGGAATTGAGAGCAGCTTCTGAAATGCTCACTGAAAAGCTTCCT